TCATTTGCCCAAGCTGGAGTGCAGTGGCAGGTTCACGGCCACCGCCGCCTTGACCTGCTATGCTCAGGGGATCCTTCCTCCTCAGCCTTCCGAGGGGCTGAAACCACAGGTGCATGCCACCACCCTCAGTTAATTTTTTTATTTATTGCATGTATGAACCACCTATTTCTTCTTTATGTTTTTAAATATATGATAGGTATCAGCAAACATATATCACATTTATATATTATCAAGCACAATCATATAACCAAATCTATAATTTACCCCCCAAAACTAGAATATTATTATAATTATTTTGATTTGGGATATCACCCTATTGCCCAGGCTGAAGCACAGTAGTACAATCACAGCTCACCACAGCTTTGACCTCCAGGGTTCAAGAGATCCTTTTACCTCAGCCTAAAAGTAGCTGGGCCTACAAGTGCAAGCCGCTATGCCTGGCTAGTTATTTTGGTTTTTTTATAGAAACAAGTCCTGCCGGACTCGGTGGCTCAGCCTGTAATCCCGCGCCTTTGGGAGGCTGAGGTGAGTGGATTGCCTGAGCCTGCGGGTTCTAGACCCGCCTGGGCAACTTGGCAAGACCTCATCTCTACAATAAATAAAAAAAATGAGCCGGGTATGGTAGCGCGCGCCTGTAGTTCCAACTACTTGGAAGGCTGAGGTGGAAGGATCGCTGGAGCCCAGCAGGTCGAGGCTGCGGTGGCTGGGAACGTGCCACTGCCCTCCAGTCTGGGCGACAGAGTGAGACTCCAACTCAAAAAAAAAAAAAAAGATAGAAAGAAACAAGTCTTCACTATGTTTTCCAGGCTGGTCTTGAGCTCCTGGGCTCAAGTGATCCTCCGGCCTTAGCCTCTCAAAGTGCTAGGATTATAAACATGAGTCACCACATCCAGATAGAAAATTATTGATAGCTTGCATTACCCCGTCCCTCCCCATCTCTGTCTCCCTGTAGGAATTATTGTGTTTTTTTTAAGATGGTTTTATTGCCGGACACAGTGGCTCATGCCTATAGTCCCAGCACTTTGGGAGGCCGAGGTGAAAGGATTGCCTGAGCCCACGGGTTCGAGACCAGCCTAGACAACATGGTGAGACCTCATCTCTTCAATAAATGTAAAAATTAGCTTTGTGTGGAGGCACGTGCTTGTAGTTCCGGCAACTTGGAAGACTGTGGCAGAGGGATCACCTTAGCTCATCAGGTCAAGGCTGCTGTGGCCATGAGCATGCCACTGCACTCCAGCCTGGGTGACAGAGTGAGATGCCAACTCAAAAAAAAAAAAAAAGATAGTTTTATTACATGCATATGTATGCCCAAAGAATATTTTGTTTTCAGTTGTAAAACTGATATTATACTGTTTACATTCTACTGTATTACTTTTCTTTTTTTTTTTTTTTTTTATGAATCAGAGTCTCACTCTGTCGCCCAGGCTGGACTGCAATGGCATGCTCATGGCCACTGCAGCCTCGACCTGCTGGACTAAGGTGATCCTTCCAACTCAGCCTTCCAAGTAGCTGAAACCAGAGGCGCGTGCCACCACACCTGGCTAATTTTTTTGATTTATTGTAGAGAGGAGATAGTGCCATGTTGCCCAGGTTGACTTGTACCCGTGGGCTTAGGCAATCCTTTCACCTCCACCTCCCAAAGTGCTAGGATTACAGGTGTGAGCCACCTCGCCCAGCTTTTTTGAACTTCTAGGCTCAAGCAATTCTCCTCTTTGGCCTCCCAAAGTGCTGGGATTTCAGACGTGAGCCACCATGCCCAGCCAAGGCTAGTGCTTATATTCTTTTTTTTTTTTTGAGTGAGGCTGTCATTCTGTCACCCAGACAGTGGCACAATCATGGCTTACTGAAGCCTTGATTTCCTGGGCTCAAGCAACCCTTCTGCTTCAGCCTCCCAAGTAACCGGGACTACAGATACACACCACAATGTCTGGTTAGTTTTTGGGGGTTTGGGGTTTTTTTTAATTTATTTTAGTAGCATGAGGACTCTCTATGTTGCACATACTAATCTCAACCTCCTGGGTTCAGTGATTCTCCTGCCTCAGCCTCCCAAAGTCCTGAGATTACAGGTGAGACCCACTGCACCCAGCCTACTATATTGCTTTTTTATGCCTCCAAAATATTTATTGTTGCAGGTACCTATTGTGTCTTAATTTTCACTGTTGTATCGTATTTTGTTATGTGCAATTGTGCAGCATTGTACGAGTGGGAGACCCAAAAGAAAACTGGAATTATTTTTTGGAGGTGGGTCCCTTGTAGTACAGCCTTCCCCGGTAAGTGTTCCAGGAACTCATCAGCATCAGTATACCAGCTAGTGTTATTGTGAGAGGCTGTGTTGGCTTCAGTAAATTTTTTTTTTTAGATGTTTTCAACAAGTTTGCCCGTTTCATGCTGGGTGATTTATGAGCACACCTGCCCACCCCACACCGCCCAGGGTGTGCAGCAGTTTTTGACCAAAAAGGTCATGACCTCTGTGTCCCACCCTCCTTATTCACCCGATCTCACCCGAGTGACTTTTGTTTGTTTCCCCAAATGAAAAAGTCCTCAAAGGGAAACATTTTGCCAATGTGGAAGAGGTGAAACAAAAAATGGCAGAAGTACTAAAAGGCATCAAAATGGATGAGTTCAGAAACCGTTTTGAGCAGTGGAAAAAGCATCTCGATAGGTGTATCACTTTGAATGAAGAGTTTTTGGAAGGTAACTGAGGTTTAAACACGTAAGAAGAAATACAAAATTTGCTATAAGTAAATTCCAGTCTTCAGGGTTTCCCCCTTGTATGTATCTGTTTCCCTATTGATGGACATCTGGGGTGTTTCCAGTGTCTCCTGACCCCTCCCTTGTGCTCTATTCCATGACACAAAGCCATGCCTTCACAGATCTCTGTCTTCAGCGGTCTTCTGAGCTCCAGACTATATAAAAGACATAACTATGAGTATTTACTGAGCATGTACTCTGTACCAGAAACTATTCTCAGCATTTTACATATTTTGGCATGTTTAATGTTCACAGCAGATTACATTCTTTTTTTTTTTTTTTTGAGTTGGACTCTCACTCCATTACCCAGACTATAGTGCAGTGGCACGCACGCTCACGACCATCCCAGTGTTGACCTGCTGGCTCAGGCAATCCTTCTGCCTCAGCCTTCCAAGTAGCCAGAACTACAGGCGTGCACTACCACGCCTGGCTAATTTGTTGATTTTTTTATCGTAGAGATGAGGTCTTGCCAAGTTGCCCAGGCTGTTTTCGAACCTGTGGGCTCAGACAATCCCCTCACCTCGGCCTCCCAAAGTGCTAGGATTACAGGCTTGAGCTACTGCACCCAGTCACGGATAATATTCTTATCCCCACTTTACAAATGAGAATATTGGAGCCCAGAGAGGTTAAGTAACTTGTCCAAGACCACACACCTCTCGCCCTGCCCAAAAGTCCCATAGGCGACTCAAACGCAAATGTCCGTGACATAATTTATCATCTTCCTCTCCAAACCAGTTCCTAGCTCATGCTCCACTCTCATTGGGGACATCCCCAATTCCCCATACCCAAGCCAGGAACCATAAGTTATCTCTGACTCCTTCTTCTCCCTCACTCACTCCATCCAGGTGGGGCCCAAGTCCTGCCAGTAGCACTTCTAGGTATTGATCAGACCCTGTCTGTCCCCTCCATGCCACAGGGCTGACCCGTTAGATGCCTTGATGCCTCTCCTGGTCTCCTGCCTGTCACTACACTCTCTACAGGCCCATCTCCACCAGTGCCAGGGCCTGCTAGGTGGGCTTTCACCCTTCTAACCCCCGCTCCCCTCAAACTGTAAAGTGCAGCTCCTAGCCCCAGAAAGGACACCCCTACCCTCCCTCTGCTCTGTCTCTTCCTCTGGGAAGCCACTCCTAGCCTCAGCCCCGAGGCTGGCTGTGAGCTCCCCACCCTGAATCCCACAGCCTCCAAGCATCCCACTCTCCACTTGCTCCTTCCTCATAACTACTTATTCCCAAGATTGCATTAGACTGCCACCCTCAAAGTCAAAGGCCCAGCCTTATCTACTGTGCATCTCCAAGGTCTAGGCAGGGCCTGCACACAGTAGGTGCTCAATAATTATTGAAAGGCTAATTGCATGAACGATGACAGGAACCATGCTTGGTGCTGCCTTCAGAGTCCCAGGAAACAGGATGATGCCTGCCTGGTCCCAGGATCAGCAGATCCTGTCTCCCCCCAGGCCCCAAACCTCTGTGCCTGTTCCTCTGGAGTCTCTGGAGCCCCAGGATTTTTTCCTGTGTCTTCACCTTTTTGAAGGATTTCCCTCTTTGCATCTTCCTTTCTAACTCGGGAATTCCTTCGTGTGGGAGTGCTCAGGCACCAGGAAAAGGAGCCCAACCCCTTACCTGCTTTCAATCTATATCAAGTATTGTCAAGGGAACAAAAATTGATTTCTAGAAGGGAGGGTGAAGAATCTTATTATTTTAATGTATAAAGCACAGATATATACAAAGTACATAAACAGATATATAGTGTATCTATGGTATTAAAATTTCATGGGATTAAAAAAATGTCTAAAGGGCTGCTGCGGAGGGCACTGGTGAAAAAGAATGAGAAATTCTGATCTGCACTCTTGGGTCTTGCTTTGTCTGGTTCAAGAGCTGACCAGGACTGGAGGAAGGGAAGAACCAGGGAAAAGTCTAGACTCCATCCCAAGGTACCCTTAAGGTATTCCCCCAAAGCCGCCCCACCAGCTAGCTATGAGCCTTTCCCCCAAACCACCTTCCCGCCCCTGAGCCCACAAGTCCCCCGTCTGTGTCTGGCTTGTTTTCACCTCACCCTGTTCCTACTGACCTCCCCATTCTCACCCAGGGGGCATCCCAGCTCCCAGGGCTTGAAAGAGTTGAGGCCTCTCAGCTCTGTACTCTAGCCTGAGGCTAAGACATAACCCAAGAGCTCCAGGAAGAACCCAGGAGGGGAGCCCAACCACCGGAGGTCCCCAAGAGGTGGAGGTGCTACTGTGGGAGACAGTGTGTCTTTATTGGGGCAGGGACGGGGTCCCAAATAACCTCTACTTAGAAGTGCTCTAGGGGCATGGGGTCATGTAAGAGTGGGACCGGCTGGGTGGAAGATCTGTTAGTAGGGGTCACAGAGACAAGGGGGAGAGGAGAGGTCATGGACAGGTGAGATTCGGGCTTGGGTGACACAGTCGTCTTGGGGTCTTCATATGCCTCCGGGTCCTCCAGTCTCTGGGGCTCCTGTGGGGTGCTGGAGCCGATGAAGACCAGGTAGATGATGCCACCTATGTAGGCACCCAGAATTGGTGCCACCACTGGCACCCACCACCAGTTCTCCCCAGCCCTGCAAGCAAGAGGCAGAGACCTGCTGAGGGGCTGATGCCCAGGACGGCACCCACATCCAACTCAGGCCAAGACAGGGTGAGTTGAAGAGTCATCCCCATCCTACCCTCCAGGAGACACCCCCAACCTGGAGCCCTGATCAGACTCAGCCTGACAGGGACTGGGTTGGCACTCAGTCCAGGAGCAAGGTCTGCATCTGTGCTGGTCTGGGGAAATGTTGGGACCCACTCCTGTGCCCTAGGCCACCCAGGGCTCTGCAGGACTCTCCTGTGGGGCTCCTCACATCACCACCACCCCTCCGCCTGCAGGGGACCCACAGAAAGCTTGCTGGAATGGGCTTGGGCAGGGGAAGTACCTGAAGACCGGTTTGCCCCAGCCAGCAATGAAGGTGAAGAAGCGAGGGGGCAGGTCCCGGGATGGGTTGATGGCATAGCCTGTGTTCATGCCTAGGGACGCCCCCATGCTGACAACGAGGATGCCGATCACCAGCGCCTGTGTCCCTTGCAGCGCTGGGTTGTTCTCCTTGTCCGTGATGGCGAAGAGACATAGCTGCAGCATCCCTGTCAGTAACACCTGGGGAACAGACGCTGTGGCAGCCCACCTGGGGCCCCTAGCCAAGCCACAGGGCCTCGGCAGTGCCCCAAATTCAAACCCCCCAGCAGAAACATGTCTTGGTACAGTCCCCATCCAGAGTCCTTGTCCTCGCTATCATGAGGGGCTCCCTGCTGGCTCCTTCCTGAGGGGTGGAGGGCATGGGGAGGGGTACCGTCCTGGACCACTGACCTCATTCAGGAAGCCCCACCACAGTGTCATGTGATCAGGAAGGTAGGTGGCAAAAATGCCAGCGGTGGCTGTGGGACCGGTCACCATCAACTGTCCACCCGAGAAGTGGAGAATGGCCGCTGTGGAAACATCAGTGGAATGTGAACCTACCCCCAGCTAAACCCTACAGGGTTCCCAGAAATGAGGGTGGAGGGTGGGGAGCTCCAAAGTCTTTTTCTCCCAGACATATTTATGGACCAGGACACTGAGGTCCAATGAGTCCGTATTTCAGAGGAGGAGGCTGAGGTCAGAGGCAACAACCCAGGGCAGAACACTCACGGTAGAAGAGGCCATAGATGGTGGCAGCAGCTGTGAAGGAGCCCAGGAACTGACCCAGCACATATACTGGAAACTTCTTCCAGGACATGCGGCCTAGTGCACAGTTGGTGAAGGTCACAGCCGCGTTCATGTGGGCCCCTGTGGGGAGGGGGCAAGTGTGTTGGGGGACTGAGAGCAGAAACAAACAGCAATATAAATAATATTGAGAATGACAACATTAATAACAGCTGTTGTTCATGTGGGACAAGAGCTCTCTCATGTAACCCTCACGGCGACCCCATGAGGCAGGGACCACCATCTCCAATTCACCATTAAGGAAATTAGGGACAGAGAAGATAAATTACTTGCCTAAGATGACCCAGCTAGTAAAAATGGTGGGTCAAGGGGACCCATGAACAGTCTGAGGCAGACAGTCTTAGGAAAGAGGTTCAGAGGTTTTCTCCTCCCTCCCTGTGGCTAGTAAGGGCTCAAGGCACTTGGCTATGTCAGAGAAGGGGCTGGCTAGAGGTGGGCAAGAAAAAGCCTGCATGGGACACCTGATTTAGCCAGTCAGGCGGGGCCTGGTCTCACTCACCAGAGATGTTGCCTGCCACGTGCACGCCCATGGTGACTCCGAAGCCAAAACCCAAGTTGACACCGAGGAAGCTCCCATATTTTTTATCTCCTAGAACCATGTGGGCCACAGAACCAAGGCCAAACACCTACGAGGGAGGGCCTCTAAGGGGGCCGCCTGCCAGAAGCCCCAACCTCAGAGGAGGGCTCAGAGCTCGGTTCTAGCTCCTCAGCCCCCATGCCCTGGGCCTCCCCAACATTGCCCTTGAAGACGCTCTGCCATGCCCTCTTCTTCCAGACCCCTCCCTCTTCATGACCTCTCCTCCCGGGCCTCTGCTGAGGCCTCTCAGACCTGAGCCAGTGGGAGCTGGGTGGGTTGGCATAGTCAGAGGCTCTTATGACACACATCCGGGGACCTCAGATGATCCCCCACCTTCACAGGGGGAACAGAGGCCTGAAGGCAGGCCCTCGCTGGGCTTCAGGCTATATCCATCTTCCCCTTCAGCTCCGGTGCCTGTGCCCATCTGCTTCCATGGTCTTACTTGTCTTTGCTGACTTTGGTACTCTTGACCACCCTGTGCTTTGGGAAAGTCCCTCCACCTTGGCCTCCATGATCTCTCTCTCTCCTGGTCTTCCTTTTACTGTGCCAGCCTCTCTCTCTCTACAGTTCCTTCCCACATTCTTCTTCCTTCATCTGCCTCATGAACACAAATGATCCAGGCTCCATCCGTGGCTCCTTTCACGTCTCACCCCAGTCATTCCTCCTGGATCTTCTTACCAGGTCTGTGGCTTCAGATATCCCTGATACACCAAAATTCCCATAATCTCCATCTGGGAGCCAGATCTTTATTTCCATGTACCCACTGGAAGTCTCTTGTGTGTTTCATGGGCATCTCAGCCTCTGCTAAAAGCTCACTATCTCTCAGAAAACCTGTTTCTCACCCCATGTTCCCCATCCCAGTTGGCCAAGCCAGAGACCCAGATGTTGCAACAGAGAGCCTCCTCTCCCTCTCCCCCAGCACCCAATCAGCTCTGCTTCCATTCTCCCTGGATCTTGCCTGGGCTTCTCCTTGCCAGGAGTCAGAGTGACCTTCCTAACAAAAATTTTCTCATGTCTTCCCCTTGCTTAAACATTCACTGGCTCTGGCTCCCTTCTGTTTCTTTTTTCTTTCTTTTTTTCTTTTTTTTTTTTTGAGTTGGAGTCTCACTCTGTCACCCAGACTGGAGTGCAGTGGCCGCTCCCGGCCACCACAGCTTCGACCTGCTGGGCTCCTGCGATCCTTCTGCCTCAGCCTTCAGCCTTCCGAGTAGCTGGAATTACAGGCGCGCGCCACCACGCCCAGCTAATTTTTTGATTTATTGTAGAGATGCGGTCTCGCCAAGTTGCCCCGGCGGGTCTCGAACCCGCGGGCTCAGGCAATCCACTCACCTCAGCCTCCCAAAGCGCGGGATTACAGGTTGAGCCACCAAGCCCTGCTCCCTTCTGTTTCTAAGATCAAGTCTAAACTCAGTAGGCCACCATCAAGGCCCTTCATAATTTCATCCCTTCTGCCTCTCACATCTGCCCCAATATTCTCTATGTTCAGCATTAATATTACTATAAATAATAATATGTATTGAGTACTTACTATGTGCCAGGGGCTAGTAAGCAAGTTATATGCATCATCTCCTTTAACACACCAATCTTATGAGTTAGGTACTATTGTTCTTTCCATTTGACAGATGGGCAACCTGAAGCTTAGAAAAATGGAATGGCTTGTCCAAGGTCACACAGCCTGTACACAGCTGAATCCAGCCAGTCGCCTATGCCAGATGGCCTTAAACCAAACTGCTCCACGCATGCTTTGCTTTCTCATGTCTATGTTTTTGCATATGATATTCTCCCTACCTGGAATGCCTGAGCCTAGATCCTGATACTCTACAAGGCCAAGCCTGGATAATACCTCCTTTGTAAAGTTCATTTGTTTTGTACATATAGGTTTTTGGTTTCTGTTTTTTGTTTTGAGTCAGGGGTCTCACTTTGTCCCCAGGCTGGAGTGTTATGATCACAGGTCACCGCATCCTCAACCTCCTGGGCTCAGATGATCCTCCATCCTCAGCCTACCAAGTAGCTGAGACTACAGGTGTGTGCCACCACACCCAGCTAATTTTTTAATTTTTTGTAGAGATGAAGTCTCACTATGTTGCCCAGGCTGGTCTCAAACTCCTGGCCTCAAGCAATCCTCCCGCCTCAGCCTCCCAAAGTGCTGGGATTACAGGCATGAGCCACTATGCCCAACCTTGTACATGTAGTTTTTGAGGGACTTCTAGATGTCCAGGTTGCTGAAAACCGGGGTCTACAACTATGTCATTTAATATGGTAGTCACAAACCACATGTGGCTAGTTCAAATTGAGGTCTGCTGTAAGCATAAAATATACACCAACTTTTAAAGTCTTAGTAGGAGTAGGAGAATATAGACTATCTTATTAATTTTATATTGGGTGCAGTGGCTCATGCCTGTAATCCCAGCACTTTAGGAAGTCGAGGCAGGAGGATCACTTGAGCACAGGAGTTTGAGACCAGCCTGGACAACATCGTGAGACCTCGTCTTTACAAAAAATACAAAACTTGGCCAGGCGCAGTAGCTCACGCCTATTATCCCAGCACTTTGGGAGGCAGAGGTGAGAGGATTGCCTGAGTTCAGGAGTTCAAGACCAGTCTGGACAACTTGGTAAGACCTCATCTCTACAATAAATCAAAAAATAAGCCAGGTGTGGTGGCGTATACCTGTAGTTCCAGCTACTTGGAAGGCTGAGGTGGAAGGATCACTGCAAGTCGAGGCTGCAGTGGCCATAAGCATGTCAAGTAAGAACATGGGGTGACAGAGTGAGACTCTGACTCAAAAAATAAATAAATAAATTATATATATATATATGTATATATATACACACACACACAATTTTGCCAGATGTGGTGGCACATGCCTGTAGTCCCAACTCCTTGGGAGGCTGAGGCAGAAGAATCACCTGAACCTAAGACCAGCAGTTCGAGACTGCAGTGAGCCGTGATTGTACCATTGCACTCCAGCCTGGGTAACACAGTGAGACTCTGGCTCAGAAAAAAAAAAAAGGCATAAATAATTTTATATTGACTACACATTGAATTAATAATATTTTGGTCATCTGGGTTAAATAAAATTATAAAAATTAATGTCACCTGTTGGTTTATACCTTTCTAATGTGGCTCCTAGAAAATTTTAAATTATATATAATATTTCTCTTGGACAGCTCTATTCTAGAGTTTATGAAAGAGAAAATCTAGAGAGTTGACATGAAGGCCAAAGCCAAAGCTCTTGGTGAATGAAGGCCACAGGAGAGGGTACAGTGTGAGAAGGCAGTGGGGAACTGAACCTGGAGCCACACATCAGCACTCATGGGCAAGTGCTAGAAATGTCAGCTAAAGCAGGCATTGAAATGGAAGAGGAACGAAGAGGAAGTGGGCCTTGAACACCAGGCAGAAATAGTTTCTCAAGGAGGGTGTGGTTCACACTGTCATGTGCAGCCTCTAGGTCAAGTGTGTGAAGGCTTAGAAAGGGGTCTTGTGAGCTGGGCTTGGTGGCTCAGCCTGTAATCCCGCGCCTTGGGAGGCTGAGGTGACCTCATCTCTACAATAAATCAAAAAATTAGCCAGGCATGGTAGCGCGCACCTGTAGTTCCAGCTACTTGGAAGGCTGAGGCGGAAGGATAGCCAGAGCCCAGCAGGTCAAGGCTGCGGTGGCCGGGAGCGGCCACTGCACTCCAATTTGGGCGACAGAGTGAGACTCCAACTCAAAAAAAAAAGACAGGCAGAAGCCGGGCATGGTGGCTCAAGCTTGTAATCCCAGCACTTTGGAGGCCGAGGTGAGAGGATCCCCTGAGATCAGGGGTTCGAGACCAGCCTGGGCAAACTGGCAAGACCTCATCTCTACAATAAATCAAAAAATCAGCTGGGCACAATGGCACACGCCTATAGTCCCAGCTACTCCAGAGGCTGAGGTGGAAGGATCACCTGAGCCCAGCAGATCGAGGCTGTGGTGGCCGTGAGCATGCCACTGCACTGCAGTCTGGGTGACAGAGTGAGACTCCAACTCAAAAAAAAAAAAAAACCAGGCAGAATATAGAGCAGTTTTGGTGAAGTCTGAGAAAATGTGAAATAGCCTGGATAGGGTAGGGAAGAGGCAGTTGGGCAGGGCCCACTGGACCCCTCAAGAACCTCAGGACAGGAGCAGGAGAACCCAGAAATGGGCTGACTTAGGGTCCAGTAAAGGATCCAGCAGGAGAGGACAGGAGCAGATGGGAGTGGAGGTTGGGACTGAGGCCAAGACAGGCTGACAGGTTAGGGGGCCAGGAGGTGGCAGGACTGTAGCAGGCATGGAGGGTCTAAAGACTGAGGATTCCTGCTTCCATTTTCCCCATCTCAAAACCATTTGCTAAAAATAACCATCAAGTGAATGAACCCCACATGATTCCCCATGTCAGGGCTGTCCTCTGCCCCACCCCCCCACCTAATCCATCCAGCACACATGTTTTGTTTTAATAACTTGGTTTTGAAGACCAGAAGTTTCAGCCTCTCTCTCTCTCTCTCTCTCTCTCTCTCTCTCCTCCCCCCCCCCCCCCCCCCCTCTCTCTCTCTTTGTTGGGGGGGCTCAGGCGATCCTTTCACCTCAGACTTCCAAGTAACTGGAGCTACAGGCATGCGCCACCACACCTGTCTAATTTTTCTGAGTCATTGTAGAGACAAGGGCTTGCCAAGTTGCCCAAGCTGGTCTCGAACCCCTGGGCTCAGGCAATCCTCTTGCCTTCGCCTTCCAAAGTGCTGGGATTACAGGCATGAGCCACCACGCCTGGCTCGAGCTTCTCTTCAAACTTCTCACTGGCCTGCATTCCACCCTCCATGGCAGCTGTCAGCTGGAGTGGTGGCTGCTGTGCCCTTACATAGACTGGCACTCTGCAGTTAGCCAACGTCTCCACCACCCTGTGCTGACTCTCTCTTGACCCCTGTAACGTGTGAGTCTGCAACCCTTGCCCTATGGCTCACGTGAATAGCTGGATTTCCAGGGCCCTGATGGCTCCAGCCTCTCCCTTCCCTGGTCAGTGAATGTGACTCTGATCACCAAAGTCCCCCCAACAGTCAGGAGGCCGGGGACAACACCCCTGGAAGTTGCAAAGTGGAACAGTTCACTTCCCTCATCCTGGTTGCAATAAATGGGGCCCAAGGTCACACTGGCTTTTTGGCAAAACCTTTACCCTTGTGACTCACTGAGCTTCCTATAAGCTGAAAAACTCCCACTTATTGGCACAGGTCTGGCAACTAAAAATAACAACAATGCAATGTCCTATATAAGCTTAAATCTCACAGTTATTTTATAAGTGTTAATGCCCTTCAATTCTCACAGCAAATCTGCATAACAAATGTTTTTGTTCCCACTAGATTGATGGGGAAACTGAAACTCAGAGAGGGGTCTTGATCTAACCCAAATCTTGAAAGTGAGGGTCTTACCCCAGCTGGGGAGCGTTAACAAGCCAGAGTTTTAGAAAGCCTACCAAATGCGTATTTAAGCTAAGGGACAGAGCACAGTGGCTAAGGGTCAAGTCTGTGATATTAGATTGGACTGGATTTAATCTTGGTTTAAAATGTGACCTTCGGCTGGGCGCGGTGGCTCACACCTATAATCCCAGCACTTTGGGAGGCAGAGACGAAAGGATTCCCTGAGTCCAGGGGTTCAAGACCAGCCTGGACAATTTGGTGAGACCACGTCTCTACAATAAATCAAAAAAATCAACCGGGTATGGTGGCGCACACCTGTGGTTCCAGCTACTTGGAAGGGTGAGACAGAAGGATCACCTGAGCTCAGCAGGTTGAGGCTGTGGTGGCCATAAGTGTGCCACTGCACTCCAGCCTGGGTAACAGAGTGAAACTCCGACTCAAAAAAAAAATAAAAATAGGTCGGGCTTGGTGGCTCAGCCTGTAATCCCAGCACTTTGGGAGGCCGAGGCGAGTGGATTGCCTGAACCCATGGGTTCAAGACC